TTTCAGAAGATGCCAACCCCGAGACCTTGTTTCAGCTTCGGCAGCAACCGTGCTACATTCATGCAGAAGCATTGAGGGAACCACGGTCTTCCGACTGCAATTTAGACATGTCTAATGGCAATGGACCAAAGGTCCACTGTTGGTGGCAGCACTGTGGATGGACGAAATCCATTTCGCACCACCTAAGAAACCCTAAAATGATGACGCCCCTCCGAAAAAACAACACAACAAAACAACAACACCAAAACAATCAGTGGTTTACAATGGTTTCCAAGTGGTGCGAATTGGAGGTCGTCCATCAGTAGCAAATTTTGCACGCAAACCACCTCAGTGCTGCCCAACAGCCCCAGCACATGTCCTGCTTTGTAATCGCTGCCTGTCCTCCTGGGCGGCAGCCCAGACACACCATGCAAGGAGATGCCATCCCTCTTTAAGCTCCCACCCAACTGCTACACCAAGTATTTGATACCAGCTCTTCCATGCTTTGCCTCCATTGCCTCCCAGCCAGTTGCCAGACGACATGTCGCATTCATGCCCTCCTGAATGGAACTCTTTGGCAAAGTTTGTCCCATCCTGAGCATGCAAGGGCGGACAAAGACAGCAGCCAACACCTCCGACACCTGATGCAAAACAGAACCTAGATGCTAGAGCTGAAGATGCCACCCCTTACAAACTCGCAGAGCTGCCAGAAAGCGAGCTGCAGGCTGAGCCGGAAGCGGAGCTCTGTCGCTGTTGCCTTCGCCGCCTCAGAACACAGCCCGGTTTCACAAAAATCACAGGGCGATACCAAAAATCGCGGGTCTCAGACCCCAGGACTCCAGCTTGGCCTTCTCCAAAACTTGCTCTATGCAGGCGTTCCAAGGGCTAGCACGAAGCTGCGAAGGCAAGCTGCTGGCTACGGTGAGCTCTTGGCCCGTCTCCGCGGCTTGATAGACTTCAGCGCCAACCGAGGCAGGGGCCCAGAAAGACCGTGTGGATTTCCAGGTCAGATTCCGACTCCGCGTTTTCGCCTGGCAAACCCCGCATGACTTGGGACCAAGCTGCCCTCACTGACATGATCCTATGATGGTCGAGTTCGGGGTGGTCTCAATCAAGGTTCAAATTTGCTCGACTGGATGATCGAAACAGCACCCGCATTGCCAACACGTCCATTTCGATCCTTGCACAAACTTTACTTCATCGCCTGCAGATTGAACCACATGTCATAGGACTCACTCCCATCTTGCCTGCTGGTGAAGCAGATGCGGAGGCGGAACCCTGCGCGGATCATGCTCAAAGCCAATTCAACGTCTTCTTGGCGCGTAAATACATTCTGTATCCGCCTGTAGTCAATACATATCAACGTCGCGCCGCTGTACAGCTTCCCATGTGACATGCGGATGCATTCCACCTGATCCCTTGAAGCTCTCCGGGCTGTGGAAAATGAAGTGATATTGCCAAAACAGGTAAGGCCCACACCCTTTTGACCAGTTTGGACAATTGGCTCAGAGAGCTTCTCTCTCCCCGCATCCAATTGCAATCCCTTTCAGGTCCAGCCTCTCCACCCCTGGCAATGGTTTCAGACCAAAATCATTGCCCTTTTGGCGCAACTCTTCCCCCGAATTGTTTGCATTCGAAAATGAGCCGGTATGCCTCATGTCGAAAAAGGTTGAGCCGCAGTTGCAATTCCAATCAGAAGGCCTTTCGTTGGCTTCAGAAACTGATACCACCAGTGCAACCAGTGAATTGCGCTGGCACAACTTGCATACCAGAACGGTGTATCCCCTTGGCACAGTCGCCGAATCTTCCCTTGGGATTTGCTAAGCCTGGGCCTCTGAGACTGCCAAACAAGCGTCCATGGTTTTCATGATATATTCGCACATTCCTCACCAAAAGGCTCACGTGGCGAACAGCGCCCTGGGCTATTCGAACTACCAAGCTCCGGGCTCTTGTAGCGATGATGGCAGTGGCGACCTTTGCCACATGCGGTGCAGCCTCTTGAAGCCTCTTGCAGCCCTGAGGCCCTGGCGAGAAATGAAAGGCAGTCCTGGGCCGTCAGCTTTGAAAGCCAAGGAACGGGTCATAACTGGTACTGGAATGGAGCCCGCATTTAAGAAAACCTCCGCTCATTCATGTGCAGGTTTGCAGTTGCCATCTCTTCAGGTATCTATGTTGGCTACACGTCGTGTTTGCTTCTGAATGGAGTCTAAAATATCCGGATCCAGGTGCTGGAATCGCTGCCCAACACAGGTTTCTCAGCAAGATTCATCTGAAATTGAGGAGCACTAAAGCCTCTTGCTAAACTAGCCAGCAGGAGTTTACGCACGGCTAGTGCCTGCTCCATTGTATGCGCATCATGTAGCACAAATTCTCTGGCATGAGGGAATAGACAAAATGATGCAGAATACAGATCTCGCAATTGTCTGAACTCGAAATGTTGTTTACAGGAGGCTGCCATTGGAACTTGGACTTCACACAAACAACATAGAGGAAGGCTAAGCTGACCCTACCTATGCGGCACGTCACTCTCACGTGTCTCTGGCTCAGTTGGGCCCCGTGCACTTTTTCCTGCTGATCGTCGTTCCGCTTCCTGGGAAGGCGGCGTGGTTCGCTGCGCGAATGCAACACACACACAAACATCCTGTGGAAGCGGTGGCAAGAAGTATTGTTCCTCTTCTACGCCATCCTTCCACAGTGCAATTGACAAAATGAATAAAGACATGGAGTGCAGTGAGTTTCACAAACAAACAAACAAACAAACAAACAAGCAAACAGACAGACAGACAAACAAACAAACAAACAAACAAACAAACAAACAAACAAACAATAAATGGGCCAACGCCAATGTATGAAGAACCAGTGCTGGCATCATGAGGAATCATGAGGCATGCATGGTATCGGGGAACTCCCACGCCTGGCAATGGCACCTTTACAATGCCTACCGCGGCGAGCACTGTACAACGTCCGTTTGCAATCCTTTCACGATCCGATCCGTTTGGTCCCCATGCTCCGACTTCAACCCACAGCCGGCAACGTGCCGCTACCGAAGGCTTGCACTCGCTCCCCCCAAACCCATCTGAGGTTGCCACTCCACAGGCGACCCTGACAAAATCACGATCGAAGCTGCGCTCATGCGCTCAATCACGCTCTGACAGCCAAGTGGCGACCTACTGAGCGGGAGAGAGTGTTCCGCAGGCTTCGAGCAGAACTCAAGGAGTTGATGCTTTTCTCAGCATCACTCAAGCTGGCGCATTGATCGCTGGGTTCTGATGCACAGGCATGCAAGTTCCATCAGGTAGCAAAGCTTGCCGCAGTCCGGGAGTCCGGGTTCCCAGGACTTCTCCTTCAAACGTCACCCCGAAAGGAAGACTCACTTTGGTCCACAAGCCGCTGAAAAAAAACCACACATACAACGGGTTCGGGGAAATGTGTTGGCAACACTGCTACACGCCCCTTGGCCTGACTTCGCCTTGAGCGAGCCCGTTTCGCCCTCCATAAACTGCTCCAATCCTCAAGCGGTGTTTCCAGTGCACTCGATGAACCACCTGCTGGTATATAAATATGCTTTTCAACTAACATATATTATATACATCTATATTTAGAAAGAGGGTGGCCTTGAATTAGTCAGATTGAGGGAAATCAAAGGCGCTGCATGGCCCCTTCGACCGTGATCCAAAGCTCCGATAAGCTCCGGACGGGACAATGCCCCTTCGCCGTCCTGGCAGAGACAAACTTTCTGGCCGATGTGGCCGTGGGTCAACACCAATGGTACCATTCTGGGGTAGGTGCACCACCCATTTTAGAACCTATTTTAGTGGGAATTGGGATGTTCACTGGGGGTAGGGGATTTTGACCCATGGCCATGCAATCTCTTACTTGAATGGTCAAGGTCAAGGGCAAAGCTTGGGATGGGGCATCCAGTTGCGTTGCAGAGCTGTTCTGAATTCCTCAGCTAATGTTTGGTCTAAAAAAACGCCTCGCACAGCCCACCAATAACAGCTTCCAGGGGAATGAATGCATCTTATCGCATCTTTGCAAGCTTTTCCAAGCATCCCTGTGCTTGACCGCCCGTGCCTCCACACTGCCCGGTAGCAATGGCGTAGGCATCAAAGGATACGGTTTGGGTGGGCTTCTTTGCGTTGTGTCTTGCGATGCCTGTGCACGCATGTAAGCAGAACAACCGCACTGCAAAACATATTTTGAGACTGGCTACTCGATCCCTGCTTTTTGCAGGCTGTCACTTCCGAAGGCGCATGCTCTGACATTGGGGTTTGCCATGCTGCAGGCTACCCGCGGCAGCTTTGCTAATCCTTCCTGTAGCTGGTCCTCACGTGGAAAGCTGGTCTGGCCTACAACAGACATGCAAAATGTAGTGGTCGGGGTTCAGTTGCGGCTAGCCTGGATGTATTCGCTGACTCTGGCAATTTTGTATGCGGCCTGCGCTGAGCCTAAATACTACGCCTGCACGGGGCGGTCGCACCACTGCACACTGAGAGCACTGTATGTGGCAACATGGTTTGTTGATTCAAATGATGGTAACAAACACATTAAATCCTTGCAAATTGCCGGTCAATTAGTCAACTGTTGCACAAAATGGGAGCAATTGCATCGGCTGATGCAACGCCTCAGTCTTGCCGAAGATCGTACGGAGAAGCGGAAAAAACAGTAAGCACCTTGGAGCCAAAGAAGTCAGGTTGAATTTGAGGCGTTGGAAAGCTAGCTTCAAATCCAAGCACCCAGTGGTCCGCAACCGGATCTATGAGTCTGATGCTGCTCCGCAGAATAAACATAGACATGGTTTGTGTGACCAACAGGTCCTTTGCACATAACTCGAAATGCTCCAGACCATGATTGCTGATTGGCCGGTTCTCTCCAGGCTGAGCTGTGGCTTCAGACGTCCAAACAACAAGTCAATTGTGTTGGTCGGACAAGCAGCCGGCCGAACATGCTAAATCTTGTCGGATTGCCTTTGAACCCAGACACCAGCACCAGCCACTGGCCAGTCACATCAAGTCTGACTCCTCGTCCACCATGAAGTCATAGCCGAAAAGCTCAAAGGAGCTCGCCCGGTGCACCACGTTGTCCTGGGCCTAAGACTGGGTGATACCGAGCTAGCTTTCCGACCGAATAGCTGAGTTCTGCGCAGCTTCCAGGGATTTGAGCACCGCAAACTTCATGGCAGGCTGCACCACTTCGGCCCAAGGGTCCTTGAAACGGTGGGCAAAAAGGATTGCGCAGCGGCTTGCACCGCAAAGTAGATTAGAGCTACTAGAACACGTCCTCGCAAGCCCAGATCTTACATGACAACTAAATATCTCAATGAGGTCATTGTCTAATAGCATCCCGAGGCATTGAAACATGAGACTTGACCCCAAGGAAGGGTAGGCGAAGGGATCGTTAATGCTTGTACATGCTGATCTCAGATTTGTTTATGAAATTCAAACGATCATGCACAATCCTGCATTAGTTGCGTGTGAGCTTCACACAACTGAGAGAGGCCTTGTTTCCTTTCCTTGCAGGGCCTTGTTTCCTTTCCTTGCAAGGCCGACAGCAAGCATATATCTGCGAGCCAATGACAGCCCCTCCTCAACCTCGCTCTTTGAAGACTTGAGGAATTCCCGGAACCTTGCAGCATGCGCTGTTGCACATGCACCCTGCCTTGGCCGCATGCCTCGAGCATTATCCGTCAAAGGCAGACCACTGACCACAGCTACTTCTGCCATGGCAAATCACACTTCTCGACAATCATGCAGCAAATTCTCATGGCTGTCTCGGAACGATACATCCGCACTGCATTTGTGCTGTGCATTGTCTAATACCTTTCAAGCTCGTTGCACTGGCAATCACACGCTGACCCCCACAACCCACCCAGACTTGATCATTGATGTGCTTGCGGACGACCTCGCCTGGTTGCCTGTATAACTATTGATTTACGTGGCACCTTGGATTCAATTCAATGTTCATCATCTAAGGGCACCAGCAATCTGAATGCAACTGCTGCCTGGCTCTAAGCCTCATGCTCCTCGCTGTGCCACATGGTGTCATCCTTCTCCTCCTCAAAGCCCTCAAGGATGCGTCTTGCAGACAAGCTGTCGCAAAAGCTCGACCGGGCAATCTGGCCATGGGTCACAATCCAAATCGTACCCCCAGTGAACTCCCAATCCCCACTAAAATAGGTTCTAAAATGGGCGTTGCACCTACCCCAGCATGGTACCATTGGTTTTGACCCACAGCCATCTGTTGGTTGCATCAAAATGCAAACCGGTTGGTCACAAGGTGCTTGGTTTCTGCGGGCTGCCGTGGCCGTCAAGTGCCTGGGCCTTGCCAGAACTCTAAGTGAAACTGATATTCGCAGCCAAGGAGCCCTGGAACGTCGGACATATCAAGCTGACCGCTGGCTCGCTGACCGTGCTAAACTGAACAGGCCAGGGATGGACCAGCTTGACAGAAAAACGCCGGGATCGAGTTGCAAGCAAATGGTGACATAACACGTTTTCATTTGTGGCGTAAACATGAGCCTATTACTCACCCCGAAGAACGGCAATTAGCCGACCTTGACTTGAATAGTAATGAGGCACACAACACCAGCCAACCACACAACTCGAAGTCAACAGAAGCGTGTAGACCAGCTGCCCAAAGCCCCTCAAACATGCCACTGGTGGAAGCCAATAGGAAGTGGGACATCTGTTCTGAAGTGAAGCATTTTCTCGTCCAAGAATCATCAAGAACACGCACAGGTCTTCCAGCCTCCGCATGCTTGGAGATGGAGTTGTTGGTCAGGTGGGCATACTTGTTCTTCAGCCTGGCGACCAAGAGATTAGAACGCGTACCGAACAACAGTTCTCTCAGTGGAGTGGTGAAAGGCCTGATTTTGCCAGGACTTGTGCACGAGTGAAGTGCAAATCGGCAACAATTGACCCATGAAAAGGAAAACCTCTGTTCATACGCCAGTACTTGCAAAAATATATTCACATGCTGCATGTCACAATGTGGCATTCTGAATGCAAACACCTTGATTTGAGAATGTGTGATATTGTTTGAGTGCATGTTCATGTTCACGCTTTCCTGGACCCAGCGGCATCTATAGGTAGAATTAATCACTTTGCAATGATACCCCTTGTTTGCCACTATGCCATGCTGAGCCGGTGCACTTGCGACACGCCTCGCCTCTTTGGGTTGTAGTCAGCAAAGGAGAATCTCAGATAGCAGTCCTGCATAGGAAACATCAAGCCTGAGCGGCATGCGCTTGTCATCACAGGCTGCCGCAATCAGCCAGTTCTCCAGTGGCAAAGTGACACACACATCTGGCCATGGGTCAAAATCCCGTACCCCCAGTGAACATCCCAATCCCCACTAAAATAAGTTCTAAAATGGGTGGTGCACCTACCCCAGAATGGTACCATTGGTTTTGACCCACAACCATCCAATTCCTAGCCTTCAAGCGAGGAACGATTGCGCGCTCCTCGTAGAACCACGCAGCTAGTGGGCACCACCTGGATACGCCATGCGTCGTGGTGTGTGAGCCGAGGAGACAAAACCCATGTTGTTGCGCATCCGTCACCCTGATGGAGGTTCCTAGTTACAGCTGACGACAACTTCTGCAATGAGTCATTGTGAACCACCTTGAGATAAATAGGGAAGCCTTTCAGAATTCAGTCTGCTGCGGAGAATGGTCAGCAGGGTTGCCCCCAAAAGGCGATGCTGCAATGCTTTCACAAGCAGCGCCCGTTCTGGATGAGGGGCAACATACATGGGTCGAATGCATCGCATAATGCAAAAGGCCATTGAATCAATACCATCATCTATATTTAAAAATGAATTCATCTTAGAATATTCTTTGTGATGATCGAATTGTCATTGTTTATCTATCACGAAAGGCCACGCGTCAAACAAGGCATGATGTTTGAAACGTACCGTTCCGCGCATCTTGAATCCCTGCGCGGCAAGAATGGCGGGATCGCAACTAAGCAAATCAAAACAGCAAACAACCGCAACTGAGCGGATCAGGAGATGAATGCACCTGGTGAGGCAACCAGGGTGCCCTGCTGATCAAACAAAAGCCAAACATTTGGTAGGTGAAGCCTGTTGGTTGAGTGAACATGTGTCATGCTGACATTTCATACAAATGTAGCAAAGGAAGCATCCGCCGAATTTGCTTGCGACCATCGTTGCCCCTCCGAGGCTCAAACGTCGCCAATGCACTCCATCGCTCAAGCTCAAGCAGTACAGCGCGGGGATGGCTGGATTTGCATTTCAACTGTGTTCCGAAAACAAGGATTGTTCAAGGTACATATGTCTAGATGTCAACCGTTTCAGAACCAATTGCAGGCCGTAGTGAGCCTCAGAAAACATGCTTCTGCAGCTCGTGCAGCCGTATCCCCACTGCGCCTTGTCACCAGTACCCACTGGCGAATGTCAAACCTCGTCATATCAGGCATAGCACATAGCAAGCCCAAGTAGGGTAGGTGTGGGCGGGGCATGCCTCGCAGCAAATAGTTCCAGCTGTCAAGGAGGCTTTAGAAGACGACCCTCGCTGGTCCAGAAGCAACTTGCCCATTGGCACTGGAAACATAGGAAACCTTGCTGCCCACTTTGGGGCTCCATTTTCACCTGCCAGGCCAGTAGGCATCCTGAACCTGGTGGATTCAAACAAGTATCCATCCTGAACCTGATGGCCAATAGTCTGCGCTTGACTGATCTTGCAATAACCCAATAACCCAATAACCCTCACTCCTGCTAGCGAACTTTCAACAAAAGTGCAGTGCTCATATGAGAAAAACATGAACGATTGACTACTTCTGGATAGGGATTATCATTCTTCGAGGCCAAGGAATTGTGGCAACCATTGCAAGGATTGGCCAAGGCAGCCGCGTGCCATGGTGATAAAGAATCGACAAATATACCCTACCAAAAAGCATTGAAGCGCTCTTTCTCTGAATGGTCCCGCACTGCAAGGATCACTCCTTGTGATGCAGGAAGACCAAGCAGTAGCATGTGCTTGCAAAAGGCTCTCTAGTTCCGACTCAAAACATACCACAAGCACACGCACACACGCAAACTCACACACACACACACAGGCACGCACCCACCCACCCACCCACCACCCACCCACCCACCAACCCACCCACCCACGCACGCACGCACCCAAACACAGACACAAACACAGACACAGACACAGACACAAACACAGACACAAACACAGACACAGACACAGACACAGACACAGACACAAACACAGACACACACACACACACACACCCACACACACACACACACACACCAACCCACCCACGCCCGCCCGTCCGCCCGCCCGCCCGCCCGCCCGCCCGCCCGCCCGCCCGCAGGCCCGCAGGCCCGCAGGCACGCACGCACGCACTCACGCACGCACACACGCACACACGCACCAACACACATGCGTGCCCACACAAACAGTTCCCCTAACAAGTCGTCTATGCCATGGCCACTTGCATTTTGGAGGAGGGGCTGAACGTACGTTCGCTCAATATCGCTTGGCGCCATGCTTTTTCCCGTTGACAATGAGGGGGTTCTCGATGTACTTCTGGGCAATCCATCTGGCCTGGCATGGATCCAGGGTCACAGTAGCAATGTACCATTAGTCTGCTCGAATCAAAGAACGATAGCTGACAGCGCAGGATAAAACGAAGCCCTTTCCACATGTTGACTTCAACGCCGGTCAACATGCTACCAATTCCGATGACTTCTGTGACTTGCTACACAGTGCAAGCAAAACGCCATCATGTTGTCTTAGGCCAGGCAACACTTGCTTTTCCAGCAACTGGGAGCTCCGGTCTGAGTCTGATCTGCTGACTGGCGCAGCGGTAATTCTGGTGAAACAGCTGCATCTCAAGTGTGCCAGCTGCAAACCTTCCTTTAACAATCATCTAGAACTCAAAACTAAAGGTCATCACACCACGATAACCAACAAGCAAGCACCAGCAAGCAACCATTGCTACTGCAACCAATAGCAAGCCAGGGCAGGCAGTGGGTAGTAGAGCACGGCTCAGTGCCAACCAACAGCAACCGCGGTATCATCTCGCCCGTCAGCATTACCATCTTTTACATGCAACAAGTAAAACAAAAGAGAGCAGGCACGTAGTTGAACATTACCATCTTTTACATGCAACAAGTAAAACAAAAGAGAGCAGGCACGTAGTTGAACCGTTCTGCAAGGATATATTTTCCCAGCGGAGACTTTGTCTGGCGCAATGTAACGGATAATGTTCAGGGCATAAAGCGACTCGCTCGTGTTCATGGTTGAGGTGACCGCAGCCAACCAGCACTTACCTAACACATCCCAACTACCGCAATGCAATGTTAGGGAACCACATGTTCCAAGTTTGAAGAACTTTCTCCCCGTGGCAGTAGCTGTTTTTTTTTTCCTGGAGAGCACACGCACAAAACGCTGCGGAAGCTGCAACAGCACACTGAGGAGTCTTGAGGACAGCTGCACTCAGTCCTCAAGTGCATTCCTGAGCGAAGGCTTTGCAAGCTTGACTCAGTGCAACGACACCTCACCTCCGTGACCTGCGTTTCAGCAGACTGAGTTCAACGTAGCCGGAAGGTGACACATTATACCAGTTTCAGCAAAATCTGTAGGTGTTCTTGCTCGCCCTGTTGGTTCCTCTCTCAACAAGCAACAGTTAAACAGCCCGGGTTAACTTTCATCCGAAAACAGGCCTGCCTGAAAAAAAATGGCTCTTCGCAACTCCAAAGTCACAGATGCAGAATGGCGCAGCTTCCAAGAGGGCAACTGCACATTGGTTGGCACGAGGGCCTCTTCGAATGCAATTCATGTAGCCCAATGATCCTGATTTTAGGTTGGGCGCTGAACATGTTTTTGGACATGTTCAAATCAGTATGCCACTCCCGACGTTCCAGACGATGATAATCTGATAGGAGGGACATTGGCATTGATATTCTGACTGTATCAAACGACATGTCTTAGGGGTTGGCCCTTATTGGTTTCCTTTTGAAGGCGACCAGCAACCTCTGACACAAATTTGTGTGCCAATGACGCACAGCTAGTTTTGGCGATCAATGTGCCAGTGGGACATATTTCCGACTGTCAAGTATAGGTCCGACGGCGGATGGCGGCAGCTTGAAGTGTCTATTGCATCTCCGGACATCTTTCTTTAGAAGAAAGGGACCTCTGATGTTACGACGCAAAGCTCAGATCAGACTCCCCTCACAAGATAACTATGTCTCGACGGGTCTACAAAACAAACATCTAAGCACCCTGCACCACCTGCTTGCTGTTCGTGTCCCGCGGGGTCATGATCCTCAGTACGGCCAACCCGCTTCAAAATGACGAGGATATTCTACTTATGCTCTGTTCAGCAAACTGATCGACTCACCCGGACAAAGACCTCGATGGACTTTGGCGAGCCGATTGCCCTGAAAAACCCAGGCTTGCGGCGTTGGATCTTTGATTGTTTTTTTGTGCCCTGACCTTGATTTCTGAAAAAACTGAGCGCAAACTTGCGGTTGCAAAATAGGAGTTGTCGGCAACACCTCACTCATGGCTGCTCGCAGCACGGAGCTTTGGAGACGCATCTTCGTGCAACTGAAACACACCGATGAAACACACACACACACACACAAAGAGAAACCCATGAACACCACAATATATATTTTTTAAACTATTAACCCTTTGAGCAGCGCAGGTCGGATGGGACGCTCAGGACTTGCAGTATTTTGGAAGGATGCCGTCCTCAGGCCCCCCACTTTTCGATGAGCTCCGAAACGTTGGGATCCTTCTGCAGGGGCGCTTCGGTGGCCTCGAACGACACAACCGCGGCGCTGAACATGCAGCCAGAACTGAGCAATGCAGCACTGCATTTTAGCATGAAGCAAAGAAATACCAAGACCAGCAGGGTACAAAGGACTTTGCAGCTTCAGGGCTCTTGTTCGACTCGACACATGACGCCCATGTGGCCACGAGACATATAATCAAAAAGGAAATGCAGAATGGATCGTTCAATGGTGGAGAAATCCTAGATTGATTAACTGTTGCATGCAATTAATCTACTTGGCAAAGGAGGCGTTTGTTGGTGCTGTGGTGTGTTTTGCCTTGTGTTGTTGGGTTCTTTTGAGCTTGTTTCGGTCATGATACGCCAGCCACTTGCTGCAACACATTCCTTTCGTTGGCTCGCTGTCGTGCATTGTGTTCAAAGCTGAAGCTTGTTCCCGCAAGTAGCATTGACATTGTTAATTGCACTGCACATGCATTAGTTTCAGGGTCACAGTCAGAAAGAGAGCATTTGACAAAAGAACAAGTCAAACACAAACACCGCTGCACATTGCACACTCAGCCAGTTGTGAGTTAATTCGGGCACCCATATCCAGCTCAAAACGCTCGATCAATCTAAAAGGTGAATTGTGCTTGTATTGCCCTTAAGTTCTGCGTCCCAAACCAAAAAAAAGAAATATCTCAACAGCTCTAACGAGCCCAAACACATTAATCTGAAGTCAGGTTGAGCACACAAGAGGTCAGCACCAGTGTAGTGCACGTGCTTTATGCTTGTGTTGGAGCTGCAAAACATGTTACAGCACTGTACTCACACAATTTGTGGCTCACAGCAACAATGCTCCTTGCTGTCATCCATGATATGCTCAGAATGTTTTGCAAGAATCATTCTGATCTATGCGTGTGTTTGTGCATGCATGTCCGTTTGCTTGAAGTTTCGCAGGTGGGTCAGTGCATGCAGATTCGCAAGTGGGCAAGGGCAGATCGGACTTCTCTGCTCTTTGCCATCTTGGATTGTGCTGCGTTTGCTGCTGGATTGCCATCCCGACGTGGGAGTACGTGTAAGCACTGCTTCAGTTCTGAATCACGATGTGCTTGAAGTGACCATCCTCATTCCAGCGTGAGTCAGTAATTTTACGTCCCTGATTGATCCAGCCCTAGAACATCTGCATTGCCCGTTCATGTCGCAGTCAGAAACACAGGAAACCCAACTGCATTGCTGCATTCGCAAGCTGACGCTTCACATTGATGGGAATCCACACCTTGATCTCGAAGTGGCACCCGCACCCGCACCCGCACCCGCACACACACACACACACACACACACACACACCCGCACCCGCACCCGCACCCGCACCCGCACCCGCACCCGCACCCGCACCCGCACCCGCACCCGCACCCGCACCCGCACCCGCACCCGCACCCGCACCCGCACCCGCACCCGCACCCGCACCCGCACCCACACCCGCACCCGCACCCGCACCCGCACCCGCACCCGCACCCGCACCCGCACCCGCACCCGCACCCGCACCCGCACCCGCACGCAGACACACGAAGACACACACACACACACAAACAGACAAAAAAAGAGACACGCACGCACACAGAGACACACACACACACACGCACACACACACACACACCCACCCGCCCACCCACGCACGCACGCACGCACGCACACAAGCACGCACACACACACACACATGCACTCACACACACACACATCCACTCACACACACACACACACACACACACACACAAAAATACACACGCACGCACGCACGCCCGCCCGCCCGCCCGCCCGCACGCCGCACGCACGTACGCACCCACCCACACCCACACACACACACACACAAACACACACACACACGCACACGCACACGCACACGCACACGCGCACACACACACTTATCTCGAGAGGCTGCTCTTGCAGACACGCGATTGTACTGAAAGGGCATGAAAAAATCAATCTGCAGTGCAAATGTCACATCATCGAAACCGAACATGAAGCAAACAGTGGTAAACCGAGGAAACACATTAGGTCACGAAAGGATGGCAGGTACGCCGGATGGCCAATTCCGGTATCCCGTCTTGCTGCCTAGCTTTGTTAGACCAGGTCAGCAGCAAGACGCCTGGTCCCCCTGCAATGTGGAATTTCCGTCCGTGCTCCAGGACGCTTCACACACACGGAGCCCCAACTGGGGCGACATCACTTGTGCAAGGCCCATTGAGTCTTGCAAGCATCAATTGTGCGAGAAAGTCTTGTGGCGATGACTGACCACACATACTTGGCTTTGGAATTGGTCTTAAGGGAACGGAGGAGTTCAATCTCTCCCTCAGTCCAAGGCTGCGAGGCTTCAGGTTCGGCCTCAGTAGAGGCATCAGTCCTGGTCGATGTGGTAGCTTCGCTTGGTCCACGAGCAGGTTTGGATGCCGTAGATCGTGAGGAGGCCAAATCACGTGTGCGGCGAGCTCGTTTTTTGTCGGGAGAAGACGGAGGAGGAGTGGGCGGAGCCCAATGATCAGGGAATTGTTCGTCATGATCAGTGGGAAGGTGTTCATCTGGAGCATCAGGAGGTGGCTCAAAGAGGTCCTCAATGGCGGGGTTGAGCGTGGCCTCCGGTGCCAAATCAGGTTCGGCAGTCGGACTCTCAGGGAACTCGCGGATGGTGGCGATGCCTTGTTGGGCAATGCCAAGGATGAGTTCGAAGTCTTGGAGCAGCTGGCGTGCTGTGTTGGTATCCATGCTCGCAACGGATTTTGGTCAAACAGTCAAACAGCTGCGGCACGAAAATCAGGTCAAATCTGTC